TCAGGGAATCGAACCTGAGACCCTTCAGTCTGCAGGCCGACACTCTATCCTCTGAGCCAAGCCCGCTCTGGCAAGCAGGCTACTTTTTGATAATTTTGTACGGCCTGTGAATGACGTTATACACATCCTAATGGCCCTTGGCAGAAAAAAGGGTCCCACCCCTGACCAAAGAGGGGCCCACAGGGGTGAGGGGGGCTGCACCTGCACAGCCCTGGGGTGGGGGGGATGTCTGAGGGCCTGAGGGGAAGTGGCCGTTGGGACAGGGAGTCCTGGGTCACAGGGCCGTAACGTAGGCCGGGCCGGTCTCCCCCCGCCCACTGTTGCAGGCACTGATGGTCTTCGAGGATGTGGCCGTGTACTTCTCCCGGGAAGAGTGGGGGCTCTTGGACTCGGCCCAGAGGGCCCTGTACCGCCAGGTGATGCTGGAGAACTTCGCCCTCGTGGCCTCGCTGGGTAAGGCCCTGGGTCCCCCTGGGAAAGCGCCTCGTTGCCAGGCTGGTCTGCCAGCAGGAACCCCCTCACCCCCCAGGGGCCTCAGAGCAGCCCCACTCCCCCGGCCGAGGGTCCCTTCAGGCCGTGGCACCTCAGGGCCTGGGCTCAGTGCTCTTCCTCCGGCCCTGCCGACACGGTCCTCCCCACGGGCACAGGAAGCTGTCCCTGCTGTCCCTGTCATGAGCTGGAGTCGGCCCCTCACTGGCTCGCCTGCCCCTTGCAGGACTCTCTGCCTCCCGACCTCGGATCGTCCTCCAGCTCGAGCGGGGTGAGGAGCCCTGGGTTCTCAGTGGGCTGGATGTGGCCCTGGCCAGGGACGCCCAGAGGAGGCCCGGCCCTGGTGAGTGGGGCCCCCGGGGGCCGGGGAGGGGGGTCCCTCTTCCCCACACTCTGCTGCCTCCCACCTGACTCCCTCCTGTTCTCCTTCCACCATGAGCCTCTCCTGGAGGCTCCAGCCTTGGCTGCCCTCAAAAGGGGAGCTCTGAGGGCACCCAGGCCGCGGTGAGACCTCAGAATCCCACCCCAGACAGCGTGTTGGCCTCACACCTTCCCTGTCTCCCCTCCTCGCCTCCTGCGGGGCCGGTCCTTCACTTTCCCTCCCGCGCTCCTTGTTTCTTGAGCACTTGCAGTGGCCAGGCGGGTTCTCGGGGCACCAGGGACCCTGCTTTGGCCGGGACGTTCCCGGTGCTGCCTCCCTGGCGTTGGCTGTGCTGGAGGAGGGGTCAGCAAACAGGGTCCATGATCAAACTCTCGGCTCAGGCAGCCACCAGTCGGGGGCGCTGCAGACAGGACGGCTTAATTCTCAGCAGCTTCCACACCCAGACCTGGGGCCCCCCTTGCGTTGTAGCTGGTCCCCAGTACTCTGTGTCTGCCTCTAACACCTCTCCTGTGTCCCCACTGCATGAACGACTTCAGCCAGGAGTGAGTCCCTGGGCGCAGCCACGTGGCTTTGAAAATGAGGCCAGAGCCCCGGGGAGCCTGCCCAGGGACTACTGCACAGGACCGGGCATGCCTGAAGGAGGGCCTTCTGCAAAGAGCTTGTCTGCAAATAGGATACTTCTGGGCCTCAGTGCCGGGGACAGGGGTGCCAAACTACGGAGAGTCAGAGACCCCAGGGCCCCAAATCCCCAGAGGACGACTTCCCATGTTTCAGGATGTGAGCTGCACAGGGAACGCACTAGTGTCCCTGGAGAGGGGCTGGGACCCAGGAGGGTCTGCCCCAGCACAATCTAAATGTGTGGGTTCTTGACTTGGTGCAGGAAACTTCACAATACTAGTCCAAGTGATTTTGAGAGTTCATTTGTTAAAGACTAGAGGCCCGGTGCACAAAAATCTGTGCCACCCACTGCTTCTGGTCCCGCAGGTTCCCAGCGCCCGGCAGAGGACAGAGCTGGTTCAGGGGAAGCAGCGTGGCCTTTCCCGGAAAGGCCCCCCCTGACACCTCCCGGAGTCCCCCGCACCCCTGCCGCCTGTGAGCCCGGAGATCGCCTGGAGGGGCGTCGGGGCAGCTCCTCGTCTGGGGAGAGAAAGCCCACGGGGGTCTCCGTGCACCTTCCAAAGTCAATAAAAACATTAAACCCAGGCAGTGTAGTTCAGTGGTTGGGCGTCGACCTATGAACCAGGAGGTCACAGTTCGATTCCTGATCAGGGCACATGCCCGGTTTGTAGGCTTGATTCCCAATGGGGGGTGTGCAGGAGGCAGTTGATCAAGGTTTGCATTGAACCGAAACCTCCTTGCACATGCTCCACACGTGTAGGGCGTCTCCACAGGACGTGTTCCTTGATGCTCATGGAGGTGCAAAGTGTCTTTCATAAATGGGCCACACCTGAAAATCAATAAAGATATATTTAAAAAAACATATTAAGAGAAAAAAAAGATAAAAGAGGCAGGACCACAGCAACAGGAGTGAGCCTGGCAGAGAGCTGCCGTGGCCCTTGGGGGAGTCACAGAGGCGGAAGTGAGCCTGCTGGGCTGCGTGGACGCAGGAAGCAAGTTACAGCGGCAGAAGGAGAGCCCCTCAGGGGTGTCGCCCGGACAAGCTGCCACTGCCTGCTGCTCCCCTGGTTGCAGGCCTTGTTGGCACCCTGAGAGCTTAGGAGAAAGAGAACAAAGATGGGCCCTGAGGAAGGTGTGGGTGTGCTCTAAGGAGAGCATGCTCTGGCTTCCTTTATCTAAGGTTTTTAAATTTGTTTTCTAAAGATGGGAATTTTAGGGGAGATGTGAGGGGAGGATCTTGTCTTTTTATGGGTGCCCTGACCCAGAATCCAATCGGTGACCTTTGGGTGCACAGGACACAGTTCAACCAACTGAGGCACACCAGCCAGGGCAGGGCAGGGTCTTTCTGTTGTTTTTAATCCTCACCTGAGGATATTTTTTCCACTGATTTTCAGAGATTGTAGGAGGGAGGGAGGGAAGGAGAAAGGTTCATGTGAGAGATACATCGACTGGTTGCCGGGTGCAGGTACTATTCTTGACCGGGAATCTAACCAGCGACCCTCTGGGGCACGGGCCAACACGCTAACCTCTGAGCAACACCGGCCAGGACTGTCCTCACTCTTCTTAACACACAAATCCCAGACGCACTGGTCCCCAACCTGCTGAGCTGCAGAGACGTCACCTGCCCTAACCCCAGGCCCCAGCCCTCCTGCCCCTCTCGCTTGCACCCTTCATGCTGCTACCCCAGGTCTACTCTGCACAGAGGCTGGGTCCCCGCCCTGACCCCAACCCCCAGCTGCACGTGACCCTGGGGCTCTGGGACCGTGAGGGTGGGGATCCCCGCTCCCCTGCCCA